GCTTTTCCTCTCATACACATTTTTAAGCTCGTAAACTATAGTGACTAAACTGATTGCAATTTTATCTTTGCGTTTGATGCAAATTAATATTCATTTTCATAACTTGGAATGTAACAAAACAAAAGCTAACAGTTACCATGACGAGATAGTTCAACTCTAATTTCTGTCATCCTTTACTCACCCCCATGTTTTTCCAACCTTATGACTTTCTTTCTCCTTTCAAAAAGAAGATATAAATCGAGATTTTTTTTCCATCTATGGGCACCAAAACCGTTTGGTTTCCAACATTATTCAAAATATCTTAAGATCGTATAATATGGTTCATGTTTGGAACAACATGAGAATAGTAGCCTAAATGATGAAATTATTTTCATTTTTGAGTTAACTATTTCTTTAACGTATATGGTTTATATATATATAAAGTTTGGTGGATGGTCTAAGCAGGAACACTTAGGTGGAAAAAAAGTGAAACAGTGGTGTGGCTTTTACTTTGGGCCTCAAGGGCAAAATATCCCATAGTGCCTTGTGGTTTGGGCCAAGTGGTTTCTGCCACAGATTTTATTAGTAAGCCGAAATCATTTGTTACCCCCACAGGCTGATAAATGAACTTCTCTAGGCACTCCCTGAAAACAGTGGACAGCTCAAAGTGTTTTCCTTAGTGTTTCTTTTCTCCTGCGTCAACCTTAAATCTGTACATTACAAAGAATTACATTTTTTTCCAAAGAAGTTAAGGAGGAATATTATTTTTTTAATACCCAGTAGGCTTTAGTTTACACCAAAACGATAATCCATTATTTGACTTGCTGTTGCTAGTCAGGCAGTTGGCCTGCAGTAACAGGGGACATGCTAGTTCTAGAGAGGTTTTCATTGGACAAAATATCTGTAAGGTAAGTCATCAATGTTTTTGCTGCAAGACAAATATATTTTTTGATTTGTTAGTTTATAGATGACCTGAAGGACTTAAAGCCACTGAAATGCCTCAGATGCACATTTCACATTGAACCATATGCAATATGTAATGCGCTGAGGTAAAATGCTATGCACATAGCAACTAAATTGCTTAAATATTGGTTTTGGGTCTAACAAAATGTCTCAGCGCATGTCTTATTCATCATCATTTCTCATGCAGATAAAGATTTAAAAATGGATCAGGCTCTTGCCCTATCTTGACATTTAAATTTCATGTTTTGTGATGGGTTAGGCAAGTCTCTAAAACCAATGACGAAATCCCTGCAAACCAACTGTACTTTATTTTCAACAAGAAGAAACACTGAGCCCATGATATTTAGTTTTCCAAGAAAGCCGTTTACAGATTAATCATTTTTTATAGACTTACATAAATTAACTCGAGGTCTACACAACATTAATCTGCACCTGATTATTATATTTTCTACATTTCCCCCTCTTTCATTCGTGTTTATGTATAGGCTATGTGAGTGCCCATGCTAAACCTGTAGCTATGATGCTACGCTACTCTGAGTGGTGGTTAGCGCACAAAATGCATTTGCTAGTTGGTTACTTACACAGATATTTTACGGTATGACTTGTGTCTGTCCTGTAGTGTAAGATTATTGGATTTATTTATGTTTATCATCCGCCATAAAAATTGTGTTTCGGGAACACTTAGAAAGTAATAGCACACCTCTCCTTGTAAATAGCCACATAACACAGTGCAGCAGTCAGCTTCCAGAAGTAAAAACCCCATTGATTTTCTACAAAGGGGAATAGAGTGCTACAGGGATAGACCACAGCAATATAGGCCGATTAGTGATGCTAACATAGCCTACTAGTCAATTATTATTTGAAACAACACACATCAAAGTTGCCTACTCGGGTTAAATTCAGGATACAAAAAGCAATATGTATTTTGACATGGTTTCCAACTATACTCCGAGAAATGTGAAGACAACCAGTATTTCTAGTGCTACGTGTTGAGCGGTAGAAGTGAAGGTGTAAACCAGGGCTCTAACCTGAAATTGAGGGCTCTTGTCCGTTGAAATTGGGGCCAGGAGATAGCATTTTATTTGAGACCACACCACAGGCCTCAGGAGCAGAGCTATCTAATAAGAGCCACACTATGGGGAACTATGGGGACATTAACACTGAGCGCCTCAGCACTGTAAACCTGCTCTTACACTGATTCAGGTTTGGGTTCCTCTAGTGATGGCTGGGGTTTTAATGGCTTAATATCAAGCCTGATACCAGACCAGTGTAAAAGGGCATGGTATGCCTGCAGCATCAAACCCCAAAGTTCCAGTGGTGGAAATTGAACAACATTTGCAGTAAACAGTATAGAGCCAGGATACAGCGCGATAGTCTCAGCCTCAGACGTCACACCCACAGACCGTTGGCTGAATGTCTCATGCATAAGGCAGTGGTTCCCAACTCTGGTCCTGGAGTACCCGCAGTTTAGATGTCTATCTAATCAAACACACCTGATTCAACTCGTCAGCTCATTAGTAAAGACTCCAAGATGGGTGAGTCAGATAAGAGAGACATAAAAAAAAAAAGTGCACTGTTGGAGGTCCTCCAGGACCAGGATTGATGTGATTTCCCGGGAGACGTGTGTGTCACATTCTTTAACGATCAGCCTGGAAACAAAGCCAAAACCCCCTCATGGAAGAAGAAAACTTAGGGGTGATTTAAGCTAAAAACTGAAAACTTTTTATGCAGTTTGGCCATTCATTTACAATGACGTTTTGGGGGCCTGAAAATGCAAACGTTTAAAAAAAATATATATATATCGCTATTGTCTCTGTGCAAACTGCAAAAACACGAATTTGTGAATCTTTTCTTTTCCTTTAATCCTCCCTTGTCAGGTTTATGCTACTCTAAGCAATGCCTGAACTTTGTATTTTGAGTCCTACTTGTTATTTGTACCTCTTCATGATGACTCGCTTGCTGTATTCCTCATTTGTAAGTCGCTTCGGACAAAGGCGTCTGCTATATGACTAAATGTAAATGTATAACAAACAGTGAACTTTAAAGATGAAGCAGAGTAGGATCCAATTGCCTTACACAAGGCAACAACAAACAACCAACAAGGAAACTATAAACAAAAGAATATACTTAAGTGTGAAATGTATGTAGTTTTGAAACACTTACATGTTACTTACAATTCAATGAAAAAGTATAAAAGTTTAAACTTATATTAAATGCAATTATAATTATGATTATACATAATATATTTCTAATTGCAATTTAGTATAAGTCAAATATTTGAACTTTAAATGTAATATCAAATAACACTGCCGTTAAAATTATAATTAGTACTTTAGACGACACATCAACAGCCTGACAAAAGATGATTAAAACATGATTTAAAATGTACTTTAAAGTAATACATTTAATTTGGCATTATAAAGTGCACTTTTCAAAAAAGGGTTAAGGGTGTTAAGAAACATTATGAATATGACCTGCAAGTATAGTTTTTTAACATTTACATTTAGGCATTTGGCAGACGCTTTCATCCAAAGCGACTAACATTGCAAGGTAAACATTTGATCAGTTCTTTCTTTCCATGGGAAGGAATGCTAAAGTGCCATGTTTTACTGTTTGAGATAAACAGGAAGATACTGTATTTTAACAGTATATTTTAAATATGTTTATGATTTGAAGTATACACTATGTGCATATTCAATCCAAGGCACATTTCTTTTTCACCATTTTTAGTTAATCTGGTGGGATGTCAAACATTAAGGCCTCGCTGGTTTTGGAAGGGTGGGACACTCTTACGATCTGATTCAAGGTTTACAAGGTCTCGGCTGATAGATGAGGGAAATGCACAAAGCAACACTATTCCCTCAAATTATAAGCCATTAAGGAGCTGCTTCAATTTCACCCTCCTAATTTAATGAGGGGGACTAATGACACTGCATAATAGGATCGAGGACCGTGCCGGTTTCAGATAGAACAACCAGAGCTGGAAGGGTTTCAGGTAATTTGGCATTGAATATTTTTGGGCGAATTAAATCCACTTTCTATAAATAAAAAATTCATTGCATTCCTCCCTGTGCACAATGTTTTATATATTCATATAATTTATAGGCCTACCTGACATACAGCATCTGGGACCACTAGTGAAAAGGCTTTCTTTTCTTTTCTTTTTTTTACATTCTTTTCTGATTTTGCACAAAAGTTTCTTTACAATCTGAGTTGAATTGAAAAATCTGAATTACAAAATGTCGTAGTATTTGGTTTATTGTTTTTGCTGAAATGACAGCAGCACTTATAATGATAATCATGTTCTCCAGCATGATTTGAGAATGTTCCAGAAAACATCTGCCAAGACTTGGCTAATAATAAATAAAATAAAGATAGAATTAGTCCATATGAAGGTTTGCATTGTATATGTGTTCAAATCTAACCACTTCATAGCTGTGTATGGTCTACATTGTGACAAATTGATTTTTGACAAAATTGAAACCATTAATTTGAATGGGAATCTCCTAGTGCCGGTGTGTGTGTGTGTGTTTATTCGTGTGTTTCTGGGGATGTTATAGTCTCATGCCTTCATTTGTGTGTGTATGTGCTCTGGACTGAGCCAGGTTTTGTTTTATTAATGAAAAAACAAAAAACATTGCCCCATTTCCCATTAATTTCCATGACGGGTCAATTTGACCCGCGGGGACATCGGATTAAGGATTTTTTTTTTTTTTTTTTACCACAAAAAAAATTGACTGTCATTTTTTTTGTGCATGTTCCCCAATTTCAGGTGGATGAAGATTAAGCAAGGTCTTGTACCATCTAATTGAGCACTCATATTTTGAGAAAGAAAAAATCAATTTAAAGCCATTTTGGGTCAAAATGACCCAGACATTTTTTTCCTTCAGAAAATCTGCCATGTTCTATACCTGATTTTGCAAATTAATCGATATAGAATCGAATTACAAGCTTGTGAATCACAATCAAATCGTTAAATTCGACCCCAACATATACATAATGTATATATACAGTATATATAGATTCATACACATTGAACCACAAGCTTAAACAAAAGCTGTGCTTGGCATGATTTCTTTATTCTTCAATTATTATTTACATGAACACAATAACAATGTTAATTTTACACTACAGTGAGTGAATAATTGTTCGGTTCCTCAGTTGCTCCACATACTCCTTGGCCTGGTCGAATCCGGTCTTCTGCTCGACGTTGGGCGGCACCCCCTCAACCAGCTTTACAAAGTAGTGGCAGTGCACTTTATCCATGATGCCGAACATGCCACGTCCATGATAACGAATGCGCTTCAGGTATTTTCCTTTGCCAGAGAACGACTCAGCTGTAGAAGTCAGGCCGAAGAAAATATAATTCAACTGTTAGAATGACTGGTTTACCTTGAAATCCAACAGCCATATTTACAAATAAATAACTCAAAATATATATATATATAAAAAAGTCAGAAGCATACATAACAGATAAAACATAAAATATTGGAATTAAACAAAAATAATAATGCCTTTTCATGCAAAATATGGATTTATTTTGTCTTTATCCAACAAAACATTGGTAACACTACAATAAGGGTTTATTTTATTACATTAGTTAGCATGAACTAATAATGAACATTACTTCTACAGCATTTACTAATTTTGGTTAACGTAAATCTCAACATTTACTAAAACATATTGAAGGTCCAAAGCTGTATCTGTTATCATTAGTTAATGCACTGAGAACTGACATGAACATTAACAACGATTAATAAATGCTTTAAACATTTAGCACTTAGGCCTAGTTCATGTTAGTTAAGGCATTAACCAATTATTAACTTATTGTAAAGTGTTACCAAAACATTTAGCAAGAAAAACCACCCATTATTTTTTCTCAAAATAGTTTTCAACAAAACGATTTTCACAAATTTTTTTTTTTTTTTTTTGGTTGAGACATATTTATTCTTAAAACTTTGAAGTTTCATTTCAGCATAAAACTGATTAGCTTGAAACCATTTTTTTGAAAGCATGTCAAAGGACTTTTTTTTTTTGCTAGCGTGTCAAGACGATCGCTTGTGAATTATTTTTTTGGTTTAATGAAAAGTTTACGATCTATGGATTGGATCGCTGATTAATGACAAATGCTTATGAAAGCAGGGTAATGTTTACAGAATATTTAAGATAAACTTGTACTTGTGTACATTTAAAAGTATACAAAAAATGTAAAAAAGATGCACAAAAAAAAAAAAAAAAAAAAAAAAGGTCTAATAACTTTGATGTTAATGTTTGCCCATTTTTTTGAAAGCATGTCAAAGGACTTCTTTTTTTTTTTTTGCTAGCGTGTCAAGACGATCGCTTGTGAATTATTTTTTTGGTTTAATGAAAAGTTTACGATCTATGGATTGGATCGCTGATTAATGACAAATGCTTATGAAAGCAGGGTAATGTTTACAGAATATTTAAGATAAACTTGTACTTGTGTACATTTAAAAGTATACAAAAAATGTAAAAAAGATGCACAAAAAAAAAAAAAAAAAAAAAAAAGGTCTAATAACTTTGATGTTAATGTTTGCCCATTTTTTTGAAAGCATGTCAAAGGACTTCTTTTTTTTTTTTTGCTAGCGTGTCAAGACGATCGCTTGTGAATTATTTTTTTGGTTTAATGAAAAGTTTACGATCTATGGATTGGATCGCTGATTAATGACAAATGCTTATGAAAGCAGGGTAATGTTTACAGAATATTTAAGATAAACTTGTACTTGTGTACATTTAAAAGTATATAAAAAATGTAAAAAAGATGCACAAAAAAAAAAAAAAAAAAAAAAAGGTCTAATAACTTTGATGTTAATGTTTGGCATGTTTGCGACTTACCAATATATAGATTTGATTTGTATTCCACATTATGATTCTTGATCGCCATTTCCTGAGCTTCCAAAAGAACCTTTAACACAAACATTTAAAACCTTATAGCTTCTTAAAACGGATTTCGAAGTGTGACATTTAATGATCACATTGTTTTCACAGCAAAAACATATTTTAATCAATATTATTTGAGCAGTTCAATAGACATTTTCAAGTCATATCACTGTATTTTTACCTCTTTGATTATTTTAGCTCCCTTCTTGTCGTTGAACTCGAGCTGAGTGAGTGCCTGGTCAATGGTCATACCTCTGAGCTGTAGAACACATTCATCACTAAAATATTCATACCATCATCATTACTCCATATGCCGTATTATATAATTAGCAACATTAGGAGTATAACGGTTCTCGGTTTAAAAAAAATGTAATCGTACTGTTCTCCACCCACGGTTCGGCACTCACTTGCATCGCGGTTCAACTCAAATCTGACTACGCATCTATAATTTGGTTTGTTGAAAATAGCGATGCGTAAAACCGACAGAGTGAACTCGCTCGCGCTGTGAGAAGATTTGTGTGTGCACTCACCCGAAGCGCACACACGGCCAAAGCCACGTCTCGGACAGCGCGCAAATATTAAGTTCTCTTTTAAGTCTTGCGCTTGACCAGACAAATTCACTCAAAAATTGTGTCAACATGCCCGTCCTGGCAAGTATCCTAGCAAACGTAGTAGGTTATGTCTTAAGTGAACGTAAACAGTCGAGAAAGACAAAGCATGTGTACAGTATCAGTGGATTGGATCAGTGGATTATGTCTTAAAGTGACAGCAGCCTAAACATTTATGTTAATCAAACAACATAAGACAAGGAAATCACGTACTGCTCTTGACTGATTAGCTTTTGTATCTTTATTAATTATTGATGAATCTTTATTTCATTTGTACAGTTAAGATTATATGCTGTTATTTTACATTTGATAACTTTATTCAATTTCTGCACCAGAAAGCTACTGTTAGCTGATCGGAACGTGCGCACTGTTGACGTTGACAGGAGCGCGGATTGATAGAAAATAGTGCCGATTAAAACTGAGGTATGAATTTTGACCGGCGTGTTTTTTGTGTGGTAAATGAATCAAGCTTTGAAACGCAAATAATTTTTTCACGTAAAAACGCACAGTTTTGTGACCCCGGAAAATAACCGGGAGTACTTTATTAAAAAACTTCCAGCGGCCAGAACTCTGACCAGGGAGGTGACAACAGAGTGGGTCAGTGTGTATGCACTATAGTGCTGGTAAGGATTGCATACACTTCATGTCTTAAATGGGCGAACTAACCCTTTAAACCTTGACCCTAAAACCTGGATAAAAACCGAACCGTGAGCTATTTGAACCGTCACACCCCTAATCCACATATCACTCACTCACCAATTTAGCCAAGTACCACATCTTGTCTTTGCTGTATTTGATCTGACGTCTGCAGTGATGGATCTCCTATTCCACACACACACACACACACACACACACACACACACACACACACACACACACACACACACACAAAACACAAGTCAAACCCAGCATAATTTAATGAACTTCATTCATTCACATATTGTAAAAGTGAATTAAATGTATTACTAACAGCTGGTCTGCGTGGTTCATCTTTCTGTTGTGGTGGATATACAGTCAGATTTCTCCTTTCCCAGTGTTTGCTGTTTAACTCTGGGCTTGTGTGAAGACATGACACTTGTGGTAATGTAGAGGAAGATCCAAGCAACCTGATGAAAAGAGCAAGATAGACCGAAAAACATTAGAGAATACATAGGCTGTGTCTCAACACCTAGCGATCTATTTTGATGGCCAGAAATATTATTTATCGAGATAGCTAGTGACACAATGTGTGTCCTTTCCTTTGCACAGCAACTGCATGGGATCTTCTTACCTAGAGCGAATATGTCCACAAGCACGACCAATGGAGGCTAAACCTGTCGATAATGTTCATATAATTCCCAGTTAAACCAAAAGCAACTGAAATGCCAATATAAATATAAATACAACGTAAGTATATTTGATTTGACTTACCAGCCCATGTCACTGCGGAGGCCGCCATATTGATTGTTTAAAGATGTCCGATTCGTGAGGGAATCGTTTTGATTCGGATCTTTTAGATGAGTCGGTTGAATACAGTCAGTTAAAAAAAAAAAAAAATTGTGAATTTTTGTATTTTTTGAGTTATCAAGGTTGCGTAGTTACTTTGTACGCAAAAGAAGTACTGTGTAATATTAATTAACCACATGTAACAGAATCACTAAAATGGTGTTTCGAACCGGTTCTTTGAAACGAACTATCCGAAAGAACCGATTCTCGGAAATGAGAGGTTGAATACTTTACGACCATACGACGCTGCGCTTTACGGCAAGTGTCACTGCAAATTAGTTTAAAGTTATATTTTTTATTATTAATGGAAGGATTGTTTCCTACTAAAATATTCACATGACAAATAAGGCCCACTAAAATATTTTCCGGCCAACATGTTTATTGAATGTTGGTCTTAAAAAAAGATTTTACTGTCTCTGTGGTCCCTTCTCGCGTTCCGTATAATGTTTTACAACACACGCTGTCGTTATTCGGCAGCTGGTGTGTTTTCGGCAGCATGAGTACATGTGAGAAGTGAATTCACTGTCTGTCACCATCCGTGAATTAGTTTTCTTATCTTGATGCAGCGATCACTTGCTCTTTATAATGCACCAAAGACATCTGCCAGCCTCTCCAAACTGGTACTGTTCACGCTGCAGTGACATAAATGGAAATGGAGTGCTAGGTTTTGGAGCAAAGAATACAGTCTATCTGCTAAATGTGACCGCAGCATCTCCAGCAGTCACAGGTAAGAGCCCGGTGCTTTCATTCAGTGCTTTGCTTTGCGTTTGCAAAACCACATCGATCTGATCTGATCAGTCCTTCTTTCTGCAGGTGAACTCAGTGGACACACGGAACGAGTTTCTGGTTTTGCATTTTGCTCCTATGATGGACAAGAACACATTTGTGCCAGCACTTCAGACGATAAGACAGTCAAAATCTGGGATTCTGAGCAGAAAATTCTGCTGAAAGAGCATAATGTTCACCAAGTGAGTGAATATTTTACCTCCCGTGATTTATAGAGTTGTGACTGGCTCACAAGTTGTTCTAGATTGTTCTAGATTGCAGCTTTCTATCTACACCTTTTCACTTTTCACCAGATATACCAAGAGTATAACGATTTTTATTTGCCTTGCCCACACTTACTGTCTCCACATCTAACTAAATATCTAATTAAAAACATGTTTGTTTAAATATACATTTAAATAATTATTATACATATAAATATAGAGTAACTAATATAATGTTTATTTATATTTTTCATTAAACGCTTTTTCTTTACAAAAGTTTGAAATTTTAATTTCAAATGGATTTTTAATTTTCGGTATTATAAAGAAATTTTACATTTATAATGTAACTCCATGACAACCACAATATCAAAACTACTTTTGCTGAAATATTTTCTACCCATTTTAAGACTATCACTGGTATATTTGACAGCCGTATGTCAGTCAGCTAGAAAAATCCACACTGGTGACGTTTAAATAAGCAGAGTTTTGGGGCTTTATCTTTGTTAAAAATGTTGATTTTTAATTTGCAGCAACACTATAGTATATCTATAATGTATTCCATGAAAACCATAAAAAAAAACATTACTGTTGCTACATATTTAAATAAGCAAAATATGTGTGGTGGAGTTACATTTCTGTGACCTTTATATCCATAAATATATAATACGACTATATATCTTTTTTATAATATATTCCATAAAAATAAGCATTGTCAATTCTGATTTCATGGTGAAAAAATACTAACTTTTTAAGTTTGCATGTCATAAAACACGTTCACAGGGCCTAAAATTAACACTTGCCAAGCGCCAAATTCAAGTAAAAATCAGCATGGGTGAGTATATGAAATGCCAAGTTGTCTGGTAATATTTTTATGAATACTTGCAATGTTGTGAGAACATGAACAAACGCGAACGACGCTTGCTACAGTTGGCGGGCCACTGCTGCATCATCACAAAAGTTTAAGTCTTGTCAATTGAAATACTCAAACATACGCGAAAGGGAACTCAATTAGTTACTCTCTGTGTTGGAAATTTTATTATGCAAACATCTTCGCGCCAATAAATCCACGTCTCAGACAGCGCGCAAATACTGAATTGAACTCTCTTTTACGTCGCCTTGCGCTTGAAAATGCCCGTATTGGCGAGTACCCTCGTGAACATAGTCAGTTATGTCTTAAGTGAACATAAACAGTTGAGAAAGAAAACGCATGTGTATCAGTATTCCATCCTTGCATTAGCTCTTAAAGTGACAGCAGCCAAATATAAACTACCTGCGGCTGTCTGTGTCCTTAATGTTAATCAAACAACAAAAGACAAAAAAATCACTCCCTGCCCTTGACTAAATAACTTTTTTAACTTTAATAAGGATTCATCCATGTTTAATTTATACAGTGAAGACTGTTATTTTACATTTGATTACTTTATTAATTTCTGTACCTGCAAATGGCAAACAAATGTAAATGGTGGTGACTGTGTTCGTGTTTTGAACAGAGCACCATCACTGCGGTCCACTGGTCTCCAGTGCAGAAACTTCTGCTGGTCACAGGAGATGAGAAGGGCATCGTGGTGTGCTATTGGTTCAGCAGTAATGACACCCAGAGCTTCTTCCCTGAACCTCGAACGATCTTCTGCGTGTCCTGCTCTCCACATGAAGAAAACTACATCGCAGTGGGGTAGAGGCTTGTTATATTATTATTTAATGTGCGTTCATTGTGATCCTAGAGAGACCCTGACTCTTAAGCGATGCTTGCTAATTGTATATGCTTCCTCCTTAAGGTACAAGGATGGAATGATAGTAGTAATAGACATCAGTAAGAAAGGGGAGGTGATTCATCGCCTGAGGGGGCATGATGATGAGATTCATGCGTTGGCATGGTGCCCTCGTCCCAGAGAAGAGCCTCTATACGGACGATCAGAAGAAAACGCAGGTAAGCAACTTCAAGATCCGTCTTGCCTCAGTCAGTAAGTTAATACTGTTAAAGGTAGGGTGGGCTATTTCAGAGTGGCTAGCAATAGCAACCGAATGCAATGATTGGACGAACATTTTTTGGTCCTAAGATTCCACCGATATCCTATAAGATATCCACAGTAAATATAATAAATAAAAAGATCATATAACATTATGTGATGTTACATTTTTTTAAGTAAATGAATAAAGGGTTTCTCAAATGGAGGGAACTGCAGGGGGTTCGTGATTTGACGATAAGCTGGTTAATTCAATCGCATGTAACATTAAAATAAACAAATGGGGCTGCGCAATTAATCAAAATAAAACATTAGTGATAAAATCACAATGACAAAAACAGACAACAAACTTACTAAAACATCAAAAAACAGAAAATATTCAAACAAAAATGTATTCAAAATATTAAAAACTCAATGAAACTAAAATATCGCCTCGTTCATTTACATGCGAGCAGCTTATAATGGCGTGTTTCAGAGCTACTCTGTTCACAGTAAATGCTGCGTCTCATAAATTACATTTCTATTTTGCGCAGCGAGTTTAATGTGCATTTGGGAACAAAATGTGCACTAGGTTCACATAATTTCCAACATTTTTGCGAACCGCACTTGAGTTCCATCTTTTCAGCGGTCTCAGTCCGCTTCCAAATTAACTCTGGTGCGGTTCGAATGAAATCTGAACGCAACGCTGACAAGAACATGTAAACAAACCAAAAATGGGACAAGATGCCACCCTAAAAAGGACAGAATGCTCAAGCATACCTGTTTTTTTATCGTCATAGACTTATGACGGGCTTGTAGCCCATCACAGTTCGGTACAGGCGTCAGAAACGCCGTCGTCTTGCAGTAGATCTTCGTTTATGTGTGTGTGACGGATGGATTCCTGCCACTGTTTTGACTCCTTTGCACATTTGATCAACTCTTCACGAGTTCTCAGCTGGTCAAAATACCATCATATGGAGCTACCCACATACAACGAGTGCATTTATCCCAGCACACAGCATTGCTTTGGATGTTCGGTAAGTTCCGTCGCGAAATATGCGTAATAAAAAATCCGACCAATCAGGTTGTGAACATATACCTATGCCTTTAGGTTTGGTATCTTTAGGTTCGGTGTTAAAATGCAAATGTGAACGCTAAACAGACCAGGGCTAAATGTTTTTTGTTTTGGTCGGGACCAAACGAACCAAGCAAATCGAACTACAAGTGTGAACACACACACAGTTTACATGATTTCCTCAATATTCCCAGTAAAAGCTTGAGAATTTGACATGTTCAAACCGTTTGAAAATGAAGAATTTAAGACATGCATACAGTATTTCTGTTGTAACTAGTGTCAGTTGGTTCCTGTGAAGAGTGAATCCAAGTATGAACCATGTGACCATTACCTGACATCGGAGAACCACGAACATGCGAATGTGTCGTTAAATTTTTGAAATATTAACTTAAAATCTCAGAGGGTACTTAAATTAAATATTTGATGTCTAAGGAGTTCGGCTGTCAAAAAAAAGTTTTGGACAAAAATAGATTGGACAAATAAAAAAAAGTGACTTGTCCTTGACTCTTTCCGTAGATGGAATCAATTTGGCGACAGAAGGAGCAGAAGTGGGGTGTTACCTGGCGTCGGGTAGTCGAGATCAGACTGTGCGGATATGGAGCACAGCCAGAGGCAAAGGTGACAAAGAGAGATTCATTACCCAAAGATTGCACAGACATAACTGGTTTATGGTAGCTTTCAGGTGCAGTGTCATTGAGGTCACCGTGTGTCTCTTCTCAGGTGTAATGACGCTGAAACTTCCCTTCCTGAAAAGACGAGGAGTGGGAGTTGATCCAGCGTTGAAGGAAAGACTTTGGCTGACAGTCCACTGGCCTAAAGGGAGACCTTCACAGATTGTGTCCAGCTGTTTTGGGTATGTTGTGTTTGGTTATTGTGTGTTGGAGGATGTTTTGTAGTAAGCGAACACGAGTCGAATCACTGTGAATGTTGTCGTGCAGCGGTGAGATCGTAATGTGGGATCTCATGAA